TCCTGTCCCTGGTACGTCCCTGGTCTGTAAAACATCCTGTCCCTGGTCTGTAAAACACTTTGTACTTTTCAGGACAAGATGATAAACATTTACTGACATCTTCCACTCCAAAAAAGTCCAAAACAAATAAAATGTTAAAGTCCAAAACACACAGCTGATCAACCTATGACATCACTGTGACTCCACCCACTGACCACTGATCAGTACTGACTCTAAAACCGGAACAAAAGTCCTCCTTTCATCCATTGTCCATCTGAGCCATGAGAGGAGTCAGATCAATGGACCCTCTTCGGTTCCTGATGTCCTCAGTTTGACTCTGGACCTGGACTCTTCCTGCAGAAGAGACAGGACAGTCAGAGAGACACTCAGCCAGGTGGACAAAGACAACCGAAGACAACAAACCTTTTTCTTTAAGATGAACTGTTGTCCACATCAGTATTTTTCCTCTTTTATAGACTCCACATCTGTAGCTTCCAAAGAGTTCATCTGTGACATGATTCAGGGTCAGACTGAGGTCTCCGGTGGACAGGAAGTCTTCATTCATCTCGGTTCTGTTTTTAAACAACTGGTGCGGTTCTTCGAGCAGATACTCAAAGACCCTGAGTACTGGTCCAGGTTCGTAGCGCCACCACATCACTTTGGTGCCTTTCAGCAGCTCAGGTGCTGTTCTGAACGGTAGCTGGACAGACTCCGCCCCCTTCTCAGCCTCCACCTGACAGTCTGACAGAACAACAGAGGAAATCAGCTGTGAGTAGACTGAACGATGTTCCACGCTTCTCCTTCCTTGCTGACCAGCTTCAAACTGGAGGCAGGTCATTGACCTCTGACCAGAACCGTCCATAAAGACCCATCAGTTTATGTTCAATAAGGAGGAGAAGAAGGGAAACTCAGATGTGTGAATGATGATAAACCTGACTTCAGTATTGTAGTTGGAAATCCACTAGATAAGTTAACTGTGAACAGGGACTAATTCCCATCAATAAAATGAGCCAATAAGTTGTCTGTGTTCCAACACTGGAGCAGCTACATCATGGACAGAACTGTGTGTGGAAAAAACAAAACTCAGTCAAAAGGTAGCACTGCTGCTAAATCCAGCTTTTACTCCTTGGTTCAATTCTGAATTATGTACTTTAAAACAGGCAACTAGAAAGCTTGAAAGAAAATGGCGCTCCACTAACGTTGAAGAATTTTAGTAGTCTTGGAGAGATAGTCTGCTAACATAAAAAAGTGCTTCATAAAGCTAGAACTTTATATTATTCATCTTTAATTGATGAGAATAAAAATAACCCCAGGTTCCTTTTCAGCACCATAGCTAGTCTAATGAAAAATCCTATCTGTTGATTCATGTATCCCTAAACTATAAGCAGAGATGACTTCATGATGAGATTCTTTATAAATAAAATTGTTTCAATTGGGGGAAAAAAATCAAACCATCCTTCCTACTATTGCCTCTGGTTCTGTATCAGGTGAGACAACTTTGAAAATGTCACTAGAACCTGATTTATGTTTGGACAGTTTTTGTCCTGTTGAGCTCTGAATTGTCACAAATAATATCTTCATCTAAACAATCCACATGCCTGCTAGATCCCATCCCAACCAGACTGGTTAAAGAGGTACTTCCCTTAATTAATAACCACATCTTGGATCTGCTTAATTTGTTTCTAATAAATGGTTACGTACCACAGAGCTTTAAGATTGTTGTAATTAAACCTTTACTTAAGAAACATAACCTTGACTCAGGAATCCTAACCAACTATAGATCTATATCTAATCTAACTTTCATCTCAAAAATTCTAGAGAAAATAGTTGCAGGTCAGTTGTGTGAACATCTACAAAGAAATAATCTGTTTGAAGAGTTTCAGTCAGGGTTTAGAGCTCATCATAGCACAGAAACAGCACTAGTAAAAGTCACTAATGATATTCTCATGGCCTCAGACAATGGACTTGTGTCTCTACTGGTCCTGTTAGACCTCAGTGCTGCATTTGATACAGTTGATCACAATATTTTACTACAGAGGCTTGAATATGATGTTGGGATTACAGGAACAGCTCTAAAATGGTTTAAATCATATCTATCTGATAGATTCCAGTTTGTAAATGTAAATAATAAATCTTCTTCATACACTAAAGTTAGTCATGGAGATCCTCAGGGTTCAGTGCTTGGACGAATACTCTTTATCTTATATATGCTTCCATTAGGTAAAGTTATTAAACAGCATGGGATAAATGTTCATTGTTATGCTGATGATACACAATTATATTTGTCCATTAAACCCAATGAATCCAATCAGTCAGTGAGGATCCACAACTTCTTCTCCACCATAACCCTCAGCACTGGCTCGGAGGTTTTAGTTTTGGACCTGAGCACCTTAGGAATTAGTTTTTCAGTCTTTCTCCATCCTTAGATGCATTAATCTGTCCTCCAGCTCTAATGTTAAAAATCTTGGTGTTATTTTTGATCAGGACACGTCTTTTATCCCCCACATTAAAAACGTTACTAGAACCTCCTTCTTCCACCTGCGTAATATCACTAACATTAGAAACATGTGATCTAAAGATGATGCAGAAAAACTGGTCCATCATTTATCACGTCTAGACTGGACTATTGCAATGGTTTATTATCTGGGTGTCCAAATACTTCTTTAAAACGTCTTCAGTTGATCCAAAATGCTGCTGCCAGAGTCTTAACTGGAGTTACTGGGAGAGATCATCTCTCTCCAGTTTTAGCTTCTCTCCATTGGCTCCCTGTCAAATCCAGAATAGAATTCAAAATCTGACTTCTAACCTACAAAGCTCTCAACAACCTAGCTCCATCTTATATTACAGATCTTATTGTTCCATATTTTACTAACAGAGCACTTCACTCTCAGACTGCAGGTTTACTTGTGGTTCCTAGAGTTTACAAAAACAGAATGGGAGGAAGATCTTCCAGTTCTCAGGCTCCTCTCTTGTGGAACCAACTTCCAGTTTCTGTCCATGAGGCTGACACATTGTCCAGTTTAAGATTGGGATTAAGACTTTCCTTCTTGATAAATCCTATAGTTAGGGTCGGCTTGTTATGCTGCTATAGACTTAGACTACTAGAGGACAAACTGACCTCATCTCCTTAAATGAATTGTTAAAATTGAATAGTTTTCATTTGATACTATTTCTATCTTAACATGTGATTCTTGACCTGCCATTGTGTATCTATTCCTACCAAACCCAGCCGGTCGAAGCAGATGGTCCTCTAGTCCTGATCCTGGTTCTGCTAAAGGTTTCTTCCTCATGAGGGAGTTTTTCTTTCCACTGTCGCCTTCATGCTTGTTCAAGATGAGAGTTCAGTGATGGAGTTAAACTCAAAGCTGCTCCTCACATAAATAAAGTTAAATTATTATTTTATACATGAATGTTTCTGTTAAATTATTATTTTATAAATTAATGTTTCTGTTCAATTATTATTTTATATTTGAATGTTTCTGTTAAATTATTATTTTATA